CCACCCCGACTGCACACCATGGAGGTTTCCCTGCTTCAGAACCCTAGGCCTGCAACGTGGGAGCCGCTCTCTACTTCGTTTTCCATATTACACACACCTGCCTCGATTTCTTCCCTCACAATGTCAGGAGACGTTGCCCTTTAACCGTTGCTACCTAGCAAGACCCGTGATCCTTCTTGTCTCCCTGATCTCCCATGTCCTTTCTTCCAGCTTGCCTGCACTCCTTAAGTCATCTTACATACACTGATGTCAAAGCGCTACCATCCCTACTTTGTCCCCCCCCCACTGATGATGAGTATCTATTATATGTCATATAACCCCCTTTTTTGCCCCCACACTGATGATAAATATCTATTGTATGTCATATCAAATCCTGTGCCGCTGCTTGTCTCCACTAATACTTGTCTTCTACTTCCTTCAGACCAGTCTCTTCACTGTTCCATCCTGCCCTCCCACCACGCCTCTACACTCTGCTCCAGTGTAATGCCCTCTCCTGGAATGCACTCCCCTTCATGTTTGCTTCTGCAATTCCCCCTTCCCTCAAGGCACAGCTCCAGCCCTACCTCCTCAACAAAGCCTTCCTCACCACTCCCTCCTCTGCCTGCACCTATTCGGCTCTCTTCATTTAGCCCTTCGTTTGCCCCAGTAACCAACAAACTCCCCCATCAACCTGCTTCGTGTTCTGGGTCAGCTCCAGGGACCTTATATACAAGTGCATTGAGCAAATGCACAAGAGACTGTGTGAGCAACTCGATCAGGGAAGTCCAGAAATTCTAATCGCAGAATCCGCATGGACTGAAGTTATATATGAGAAGAAAACATAGAATGTTTTTGTGACATTAAAGTGAGAAAAGTCTCAGAAGTATGCAAAATATACTACCAAAAAAGCTTAACTACAGTATTTTTTACTTTAGACAAAGTTAGCAGACAGATTTGCTGAGGCAATTTGTATAATGGCCCAAATTTACAAAGTATAATTATCTAGAAGGTGTAAGAGAAACACATTCAAGTCAACAAGGAACTAGTAACAATTGCTATAACCTTAATGTTCTTTTAATAATTTAATGGTGTTTATAATTTTATTTTTTATACCTGCAATATTAATGAATTGCTGTTAGTAGTAAATAAAATAACTAACATCCATTGCATGTTCCCAGGCACTCGCCCAGGCAGCCTGGCTCTCACGTGTGCTTTAACCCTCTGCTTTTCAATCTCCTTTCTGCTTTACCTAAAGGACATGAATAAGCAAGTCTCTGAAAGAGATGTTTCCATGGATCCCAGCTGTAAAAAGAGACCCTCAGCTTCCTAGTAATCAGACCAGTGCCAGGAATTTCAGAGAACAATGAGATATTGCTTGGTGGCCAATGAAGATGTTGGGTAGCATTGCCATGGCAGTGTTTCATGAAAACTTGTATGTTATTCCCTGTGACCAGCAAGCCTGGGGATTCCATGCTTATTGGGCATGAAGAGACCCTCTTAGGTGTCCGTCACAGCACTGCTGGTGACAACCGGGACCAGGCCGC